CAACTCCCATCGATAGTGGAAATAATCGATTTTTTCATGCTTCTACGGCAGTTTTCATGTAGTTTGCGGCCATTTTGTACTGCCCAGAGTGAGAGCCTATAGCTGGCTGCCGCGAATAGGCAGGAAGATTCTATTGGCCAGTGTGAGAGCCAACAGCTGACTGACACGAATGTCAACTAGCATGCAAGCATGCAAAAAAATCGATAGCTGCATTCGTCACAAAAGGGAAAAATTTAAATCTGCATGGCACTTTACTCCAATTGACTCATTCGCTTGCTTAAACTCAACGTTGATTCTGATTACGCAGAACTGGGTTTGATGTGAAAAAGTATTTGTTGTTACCATTCTTTTTTCATTCGGTTTTTCCATTTACGAGTCCTTTTTTAAACCTGATCGTTTTGTGTTCATTTTGTTTAGTGCTTTTTTCGTAACAGATTTAATGTTTAGTATAGAGCTTAGAAAAAAATCGCAGTGTTAGATAGGCAAGAAGTAAGGCGTGTAGCAACATCAACACGGTGAAGGGCACTCCTTTAAAGGTAAGGAAGGGCAAAAATATTTTAAGTCAAATGATAGCGATTGCTGTATGAGTCGTACGATTTTTTAATCAAGCACGGGCAACACCGGGCCATGCTGCTAGTAAATAATAATAATGTTAGTGGGAATTACGCAAGCTCATCTAGAAGGTGAGAAATATCGTTGTCCTGATGACAGTTTTGTGGTCGCTAGAGAAAGGATCTCCAGAAGGGCAGTTTCATGGTCGATAGAGAGTGTTGTTCTGAAAAGGAAAGTTTATTGCATATCGTTGGCAAGGATGGCAGGAGCAGGAGCTGCTGCTGATGGCCGGGAGCTGTGAGCAGGCGGTCGGCTGCTACTGGAACAGATACACTACTTTGATCTTTGCCAGCGGCAAACAGCTATTTATTCATGTCTCCCCACAAGGTCAGTTACTTAACCTAGAGTTTAGGTACAAAAATTCCCCATGACCTCGCAACTATCGGCCGCGCTGGCCTCGTTGGCAAACACTGATGCCTCTCATGCGATCTAATATATATATTTTTTCTTTTCTGATGATGAATTATATTAAAACTATCCGAACATTCATTTTATCTGAGCGCTTTCAGCTATTCGTTAGAATATATTGACCATGTTTTGAAAAAAGAAAACATTTTATTAAAAATACATACAACAAACTATTTTTTATTTAACAGTTAAAATATTTAATCTTTGATAATGCCTAAATGTATAGCCGAAAGTGCTCGGATAAAAAAAAAAAAACAAAAAAAAAACATTCGGACAGTTTTTATATAATTTATCATCCGAAAAAAAAAAATTAGATCGTATGAGAAATTGTATGAAAAACTAAATAAAACCACCTTGTCTGTCGTATTCAATGAAATGTGCATGAAAGAAGGATTGCTGCGTAAATATACAAATATATATATATATATATATATATATATATATATATAATTGGTATGCATTTACATTTAACATATATATATATATATATATATATATATATATATATATATATATATATATATATATATATATATATATATATAATTGGTATGCATTTACATTCAAGATGTATGTTTTACATTCAACATCAACACTTGATAAGATACCAGGTGTGTTGAAACAAAATGGTTATTTTTTAGTGATTTTATTACATATTTATGTTATAAATTTAAAAAAAAAAATAATTTTTATATATATATATATATATATATATATATATATATCTTTCTCATTTTCTCACTCTTTCTTTTTCTGCTCTAGTATCTCTATTCTCAGCAAATTAGCCAAAACGTAATTAGATTAATTAAAAAGTCCTATTACACTTTGAAATCCTCATAGTACGCCACCCACTCTCAAGCTTTTTTTATTCAGACCTGAAGAAGTCGGCTTCTTAAACATATTGAAAAAGATCAAATTACAAACAAATTTTATTAATTTTTAAATAGAACTTAATTAAATAATTTCGGATCTTTCTCTAGTCTGTTACCGTTTCCTAGCAACGTACGAGCATCCTATTATTTTTATTATCTTTTTTTCAGTAACCCTTTACCTTGAGAGGTTTCTGGGCCTTTTGTTGACAGTAAGAAAATGTTCTCAAGCAAAGTCTTGATAGAACTATTACCATTTTCTGTTCTGCAAGTCGCAGTTAGATGCGACATTTAACTAAAATCTTCATCTACAAATTGCCTGCAACATAATAATTCTTCTTTTTCTATTAACCTCTATCTGGCCTTGTGCCAGACTTTTGTAAATATTTAATTCCGTTGCCTGCTTATTCATCCAATTTTCTTCTTGATATTTACTTAAAGATCTCCTCGTCACCTTTATTTATTTTTTCACTTCTGGTACTAACAATGTCCACGGCGTAGTCAATGCAAAATTATCGAAATCTGTTCCACCTAAAACTGGCTAACAAAGACAAGAAAACAAGCGTACAAAACTCCTGTATTTTCAAATGATCTGCTACGCACCACAAACACGTCATATAATTCAATATTGTCTAGTAGCAAGGTTAAACATCATACGTTGTCCTTCTTCTGAAACAGGCCGATTTTATTGACCCATCAATATATATGCTTTTTTTTTTTTTGTTTTTTTTTAATTAATTACAATAGTCCGTTAGATTTGATCAAACAAAGACGTCCGTCTTCTCGCCCGTGGGGTCGTAGGAAGAACTGGGGGTCTGGAGTTGTAACTGAGGCGAAAAGCTCCATGAAACGGAGACATATTACAATTGCACAGTGATCAACACCGGAATTTGTAGTCTTATTAAATGACAAATGGGCTCCTTTTGTTTGTCGGGACACAAGAGAAAGGCTACTAATTTTATTTCCATTAGCTTAACGAATTGGTGACGTTGCCCACAAAAGGTGAGGAATGACATTTATGTATATTCTTCTATATCTGATTGCCAAAACTTATTTAGAAAAAAAGGAGTCATCCGATCTTCTTCTTCTTCTTCTTCTTCTTCTTTTTCTTCTTCTTCTTTTGTGCGTTGAGTCTCTTCAGGTTGCTGGCAATTATGACTCTCCACAATTTCCTACCCTTTGTAGTTCTTAATAAATTTTGTTTTTTACTATCTCTCGTAAACCCTATTTTGCTAACCATTTATACAAGCACATTAGCTAAGACCATGCGCCATTTCCTCTTTCACCCTGGACTTCAAAATGTCCTGTAAGTGTTATTATCTCCAAGCACTTTTTCCTTATTATATAGTCAAGTAATTCAGTTGTCTCTTTCAGATGTTAAGAAAATTGTACTTTTTGTTTCCATTTTTCACTAAAACTTAGTCGTTACGTACTAATTCAATCCATGGTACTTTAGGTATCCTCTAGAACTACATTTCTGTTGCTTCAAATCTTTTCTTCATCTCTGATGAGATCGTCCAGCTTTCAATACCATACAGAAGGACCGGATATTACATAACACCCAAGTACACTTTTCTTTATTTCTAACGAAAGTTTCTTGTTTCCCAATATTTTGCTTAGATTTTGGAAGGGATCTTTTGCTATCTTAATGTACCTTCTAGAGTCTAGAATCGCCTGCTGACAGCTACATTTAACATCTCTTGGAGACGACATGCGTGTAAATCTCCGCTCTGTGGACCCATTCAGGATATTTCTACAATGTTACGCGAACACAGAATGCGCTTTACAGCACCCCACTGGCAATCAAAACAAGAATTGCGAATGATCTAGTACTCTGGGCACCTAGCCAGAGAGAAAGGCGGGTTGATCGATCAGCAACCACATACATTGACCAGCTGTGTTATGACACTGAATTCCATCCAAATGACCTTTACGGCCTTCATGTAGGGCCGTGATAGTTGGTGTGATGGTTCGAGCTAGCTCGACCGAAGAAAAAATAAACAGATTGTATTTTATTATTACGAGTCGATTAAACGAACAGTATTTTATTATTCGGAGAGTATTTTTATGCACCAATTAAAAGTATTAGATTTTTGTCCCAATAAAGCGAATTGTATCTTATTACTACGCTTTAATTAAATGAACTGTATTTTAATTTTTCATGCCCCCGTTTAACGATTTGTATTTAGTAAAGTTAACTCAGTGTCGTTATAATTGGTAATGACACCCGGTAAGGATTGAACTCGCAGCACGCGCGAAGCATCTGTGATATTGACTCGCTCACATTCGCTTTACGGCGGTCGTCTTTTCATTTAAGAATGTATTTTTGTCTCTTACACACCTGACTTGCATGTCCACGTTTATTCGCTTCTCGTTGGTGGCAATGTCACTTCAACCTACCCGACCGGAATCCCTTCGCTTTTCAAGATTTTTTTTTTTTTAAATCACTGATCACAGATAATACCAGGTTGTCAACGTTAATATCGTTTTTTTTTTCTCATTCTTACGCATTTTTTTTATTCCTTTCATTTACTTTGCCATATTTCTCTGCTAAATTTCCATTAATTTCCGCTTTTTCTTCATGCCCAACACTTATACCTTTTTTTTTTTTTTTTTTTGGTGCCTCTTTTCGTTTTCTCAAAATCTTCATTAACATTCTACACACTCTATTTTCTTTCTTCTAGTTCGTCATTATATCTCTCTTTCCCTGCTTCTCCTTTTTTTTAATTCTTTTCTGTCCTACGTCTTTCTTTTTCTTTACCCTCTTTTTTACTGCCTTCTTCTTTCTCTTTTTCCCTTCCCAGACTGCATTTCTTTCGCCTTCATATTTTTCTCTGCATTGTACATCTTTGTTTTATTCATTTCCACTTCTTCCTTTCTTTCTTTCTTTCACTTTTTCTTTTGTTCTAACGCTTACTTTCTTACTTTCTTTTCTGTTCTGACGTTTTCATTCTTTATTTATTTATTTATTTCTTGCTTGCTTGTTTTCTTTCTTTCTTTCTTTCATTCATTTTCTCTGTTGTTCTGACGTTTTCTTTCTTTATTTATTTCTTGCTTGCGTGTTTTCTTTCTTTCTTTCTCCTTCATTTTCGATGTATATTTTTGCGTCAAATGTTCTTTATTTTGGCTCTTTTTCTTTTAAAAATTTCTCGTCATAAATTTTTCATTCTTCTTTTTCTTCTGCATTTATTTATCTGTACACTGCCTCACCTTCCTTCTGCGTTCTCACATTCTTTTCTTCATTCTTTTCCTTTTTATTCTTGTCTTTCTTCTTCGCTTACTTCCGGTCAGACATTCTTTTCTGTTTCTTCCTCAGGGTTTCTTCATTCTCTTTCTTTTGTTCCACTTAAAAAAAAAAAAAAAAGATTCCCGTACGATCAGCTAAGTTAAGTAACGCCAGCCATGGTCAATACCTACACGGGTGACGGCTTGGGAATACCAGGAACTTTAAATTTGGATGTGTGGGTGGTATAATGGATAATAGCTCGGAATTGATAAACGGAGTGCCAAATTCCAATTCCAGTTGGATTCGTAATGTTCCATTAAAAGCAAAAAACATAGAGAAAGGTAGAGATCCACAGCTTGCACCCCATGTTTAGGTTAAATAGTAAGACGTTTAACACTAAACAATTATTATCGCCGAAATAAAAAAAAATGGGTAAGAATTATTAAGATTTCGGCAATAAATAACCACTAGAGGTTGGTATCCCGCTAAGCAAAAAGAAAACAATCAACGACTAATTATTTAGTTCCTTCATTATAATTTTTACTATATATATATATATATATATATATATATATATATATATAATAATTAGATGAAAAGATATACATATATATATAAAAATCCCCTTCCTTGACATATTAATAAACACAAATAATAACAAATTTACTATTTCTCCATACAAAAAACCTACAAGCATAATTTCATGTACACTTAACTACAAGAGCGAATGCCCATATTACTACAAAATAGCAATTATAAAGAATTTAATACATCGTGCAGAAACTAATTCATCCACCAAACAGATTTTTTACAGTGAACTAAAGAATATAAAACAGACACTTATTAATAATAGCTTTCCAAACTATATAGTTGATGAACAAATAAGATGCTTTCTTAGAAATCTCAATAATAAGCAAATTGTACATAATACTGCTTCTACTGATCTCAAATATATTAATCTCCTATATCGTAATCAAATGCATACTAATTATAAACAAGATGAACACATACTAAAAAAATTTAGTAAATTCTAATATATCAACTACAGATCCTAAAAAAAAAATTAAATTAATCATATACTACACTAAATCTAGTATATCCAACTTAATACTTCGCAATGATTCTTCTCCCCTGATTAGCGATTTGCAAAAACCAACATAGTTTATAAATTCAAGTGCCCTTTGGGAGAGTGCATCTCCAACGAATTAAATAATATTTATGTTGGTCACACCACAAACTCGCTTTCACGACGCTTGACACTACATCTTAATGAAAACTCTAACATTTTAGGCATTTAAAACAACATGCCTGCCCGCACACACAATTCCGTAAAATACTTGTCGAAAACACAACTATACTTCAACATGAAAACAATAGACAAAAACTAAAAAATACTTGAAGCATTATACATCAAACAGTTAAAACCCAACCTAAAAAACAAAATCAACTATGGAATCTCTACAAATATTCTTAAATGTCTATAATTTCTATAATTGGTAACAGAAGCCATTGATTATACCAACGGCTTTCCTTATTTCATTCTCCAATTCACTCTCGTGTAGTCATGTGTGACGTCATGAGATGCAGTGCGATTTTCGCTTCTAGCGTCTTATATGCGCGTGTTCATCGTTGCTTAGTGATTCACTATGTAAACAAAACAATGACAGACTATATCATCACTGTCGTGTCCGTATATTGTTTGATATGTTTGTATTTACATCTTTGATAATGGCTTGAGTAAGCCGAAAGCTTAGATTTTATTAAAAATAATGGATAAATATTGTGAATTTCTTTTTTCGGTTAATGATAATGTTACCAAACTTATCAGAAGATACGAAAAAATTTTACATAAAATAAATAGACAACACTTGTCTATATTATTTAATGAAACGTGTATATATATATATATATATATATATATATATATATATATATATATATAATAATAATAATAATAATTAGATGAAAAGATATATATATATATATATATATATATATATATATATATATATATATATATAATTATTCTCTTGTTTTTTTCTACTCTTCAGATATTCGCCTCTGATTTTTTTTGTGGGGGGAGGCGGGGTCCTGACATTCTTGCATATCGGCTTTACTATTTTAATTCCTTTTTTCTTCCTCTTCTCTAAGTTCACTTGTTTCTTAGACATTGTCACTTTTTCCTCTTTTTTCCGTCTCTGGTTGCCAATGATTTCCATCCTATCTTTTCATTCACATATTTCTTTTCTTTTACATTCTCCTCCTTTTTCTTTTCATTCTCATTCTCACATTTATTCATTTCATTCTCATTCTTCTATTTATTCTTCATTTTCTCATTTTTTCTTTTTTTTTTCCCATTCTCCTATTTTTTTTTCATTTTGCAATTCTCCTTTTCTTCTTCATTATTCTCTACTATTATTTCTTCTTCTCTTTCCCATTTTCCCTTTTCTACATTTACCTATTTCTTTTTCATTTTCCTATTCTCCCGTTTCTTTTCTATAGCATTTCCCTATTTATTCTTCATTTCCGCATACTCCTATTTCTTTAGATAATTTTGAATCTCATTTTACTCTTCATTTTGTGTCATTCAAATTCCCGACGAAATCGTAATGGTAATAACACATTTGGTGTAGGAAATGAACAGAGGATAAACTGTGTTCGATATAGTTTCAAGCAATACTGCAAATTACTACAGAACCAAAATATTAATCTAGAAAAGCAAAGCACTCAAAAACACACACACAAACCACACACACACACACACACACACACATATATATATATATATATATATATATATATATATATATTTATATATATGTGTGTGTGTGTATATATGTGTGTGTGTGTGTGTACAAATGTGTTCACTAATTTCTTGTAGTGAGACAGCGTGTATGTATGAAGAGGGAATATACATATATTTACACTCATGATGATAAAAAAACAAGAAAATGGAAATAAATAAGATCACACAGGGGTCATTAAAAGATAAGAATGTCGATAACTCCTTCACCATTTCTCGAACTAATCCTAATTGTTTTATAAGCCTTCACGCAGAACTTTTCACTGCCAGTTCAAGAAAAACATTTGGGTCACTAACACGCTAAAAAGAGAATGTCTCATATCAAGAATATTTAACACCGAAAAACATTTTTTAAAAAAATTAATTATTTTTATTAATATGTGGAAATCTCCACGCTTTGCCTGATGGAGGTCGGGCGACCGGAAACTAGTGTAGCAAAATTATGGAAAATAAAGCCTAATATTTTTTTAAAAATCCACATTACAACCAAAAACGTTTGCGGTGTCTCTCTTCTTTTTAATATCCACACTTTTCTCTCGTTGGAACTACTATAGCCTCTTCCCTTTACATATATATATATATATATATTACTTATATCATAATCCCGTTGGCTTTCTTTTAAAAGCAGTTCATTATACAATATGATGAGGTAACAATAATGTCAATTAACTTGACATATTTAATTTTAATTTACAATACAATTTATATAATTATTCTTACATTATTATTACTTAGATCAAACGCAAGAAAATTTTACTTTTATGAATAGAATTAGAAACTGATATCACACTAAAGACATTTCCATTCATGTAATAGTAGACCTGGTGTGACTATTTATACCAATTTCAGTATTTACCTTATCATAATGTTGAAAGGTGAAGGTCATTGCAACAAGACAAAACAAAAAATCTAGTCGTCTGCTTAGGGATTTTCATATATATTGAAATAATATAAATGCCTCCTTTTTGTACACTTAATTTCATTTTTTTTTCTGTGATGAGGTGAGGGTAATATTTTTAGTATATATGTTGTGTTATGTATATTTAAATTTATTTGATAATTTTGTATAATGTATTATGAATGCTTATTATTTTTCTCACACACAGAATAGTTGAAATATAATATGCAAGGGTTTGTTATAAGAAATGATATAAAGAAAATGGTTCGAACGGAAGAACCCATTGTCTAATTTTAATGAAATTTAGAAATACGCACAGCAGGAGTTCAACGTAAGTTATGCTTCTAAATTGCTTGTGATATTATATATTGTTTAAGCTGTACCTCGGGAGCATGCATACATATAAAAATGCATACATACAGGAATATACTTTTCGTATAGGTGCGTGGTTGAGTGGTTAGAATGTCCGCGTTCCGACATATGCTCGAATCTCACCATGATTTGTCAAGGAACTGACTTCTTGATATTGTCTTTTATTTCTGATTTCCTTTTCTTTCTCTTCTTTCCCCCATGATTTTTCTTTCTATTGGTTCCTGTTTCTTTCTACGCCATTACTCTTCTCTTTATCTTTCTACGCCATTTCCCTCTCTTTTTTCTTTCTACGCCATTACCCTCTCCTTTTCCTTTCTACACCATTACTCTTTCTTTTTCTTTCTATGCCATGACCCTTTCCTTTTCCTTTCTACGCCATTACTCTTTCTTTTTCTTTCTACACCATTACTCTTTCCTTTTCCTTTCTACGCCATTACCCTTTCCTTTTTCTTTCTACGCCATTACCCTCTCCTTTTTCTTTCTACAGCATTACCCTTTCTTTTACTTTCTACGCCATTACCCTTTCCTTTTTCTTTCTACGCCATTACCCTTTCCTTTTTCTTTCTACGCCATTACCCTCTCCTTTTTCTTTCTACAGCATTACCCTTTCTTTTACTTTCTACGCCATTACCCTTTCGTTTTTCTTTCTACGCCATTACCCTTTCCTTTTTATTTCCACGCTATTACTCTCCCCTTTATCTTTCTACGCCATTTCCCTCTCCTTTCTCTTTCTACGTCATTGCTCTTTCTTTTCCTTTCTACGCCATTACTCGTTCCTTTTTCTTTCTACGCCATTACCATTTCGTTTTTTCTTTCTACGCCATTACACTACCTTTTTTCTTCTCTGTTTTCTCTTCCTTTACTCCGTTTTGCCTCTTTTTGAATTTATTTTTCTTTGTCTTCTCTTTCTTTTCTTTTTCTCTTTTATTTCTTTCTTTATTGATATTACCTCTTAGGCCTTCTTTTCATATTTTACCCTATTCTCCTCGTTTTTCTACTTTTCTTGCTCCTTTTTGTATCTATTAATTCTTTGCTTTCTCTTTCTTCCTCCTCTTTCATTCTTTTCCCCATTCTTCCACTGTGATTTCTCTTCCAGATCCTTATTCATTTTTCCTTTTTTTCTCTTTCCTTTTTGTTTCTTTCTTTTTAGTTTTCGTCTCTTTTGTTTCTTCTTCATTTTATCCTCATCGTCTCATTGTTTTGTTCTTTCTCGTCATATGTTTTGTCTTCCTTTGTTTTGTGTCATATTTTGATTTCTCCCGCGTTTTTTAATCTTTTCTTTCTCTTTCTCGCCCCCCTCCTTCTCACAGATTCTCTATTCGTTCTCGCCTGTTTAAATGCTTATTTGTTTTTGTTCCTAACTTTTAATTCAATTTCCCCTTTCACACCAGTTCTATAGTTTTCTTTTTTTTTCTTTTCCTTATTTTTTATTCTTTCTTTCTTTTTTCCTTCTTTCCTCCTTTCTTTTTTCTTTCTTTCTTTCTTTCTTTCTGTCTTTCTTTCCTACTCTCTACCTTTTTCTTTCCACCTTTCTTTCTACCTTTTCTTTCTTTCTACATTTTTTTTTCTTTCTTTTTTCTTTCTTTATCTTTTCTTTATCTTTCCTTATTTATTTCTTTCCTTCTTTCGTTTCTCTTTCTTTCGTTTACTTCTTTCTTTCGTTCTACCTTTTTCTTTCTTCTTTCTTTTTATATTTTTCTTTCCTTCTTTCATTCTATTTTTTCTTTCTACTTTTTCCTCTCTTTCTTTATCTTTTTCTTTCTTTCTCTCTACCTTTTTTCTTTCGTCCTTTCTTTTTACCTTTTCTTTCTTTCTTTTTCTTTCTTTCTATCTATTTTTCCTTTCTACATTTTTCTTTCTTTCTTTCTTGTTCTCCTTCTTCCCTTATTTCTTTCCTCCTTTCTTTTTTCTTTCTTGCCTTCTTTCTTTTTCTTCTTTCTTTCTTTCTAGCTTTTTCTTTCTTCTTTCTTTTTACCTGTTTCTTTCTTTCCTTTTTTCTTTCTTTCTTTCTTACCCCCTGTTTTTTCTTCTTTCTTTCTTTTTCTTCTTTCTTTCTTTTTACCTTTTTCTTTCTACCTTTTTTCTTTTTACCTTTTCCTTCCTTCCTTTCTTTCTTTCTTTCTTTCTTTCTCTTTTTAATTCATCTTCCCTCTTAACCTAACTTCGTTGTAGTACGATGGATTTTTTTGGCATCCGCATTGCAAGTAACATCATGTACACCTAAACGCTGCCTGAAACAAGGGCAGATTTTAACAACAATTTTAACAAATTATTAAAATATCCGTTTCTCGTGCCAATCGTTTTCATCTTTTCTCCCTATCCGTCTTTTCTATTTATCTGAGTTTCATTCTCTCTCAACCTTTCTCAGACCGTCACTAATCATTATACAATCTCTCTCTATATATTTCATTTTGGTTCTCTCGCTCTGTTTCCATCTTTTAGTCTTTCTCTCTCTCCATGAACTAACTCTTTTTTGCCAGGCTCCTCCAAGCTTTCATATGCTGTCTTCACCATTTTCATTCAGTTTCTCATTCACACCCTCTTTCTTCTACTACTCTAACTTTCCCTCACAAAATATATCACACAATCTCCCACTTTGCCAATCTTGCTATTAATCCCTCTTCACGAAATTCTCTTGCCCAATCGATCATTTTCTTCAAGTCTCGTTTCTTCTATCACTATCTCGCAAAATGTCTCGTTTAATCACTTACACTTTATGGAACACTGTCTCTCACTCAACACCGATCATTATTATCCTCCTCTCAAACACACTTACTCTCTTTCTCTTTTTTTCTTTCTTTCTTTCTTTCTTTATTTTTCTATCTTTCTTTCTCTCTCTTTTTCTCTCTCTCTTTCTCTTTCTTTCTTTCTTTCTTTCTTTCTTTCTTTCTTTCTTTCTTTCTCTCTTTTTCTCTCTCTCTACCTTTTTCTCTCTTTCTTTCTTTCTTTCTTTCTTTCTTTCTTTCTTTCTTTCTTTCTTTCAGGCAACTGAATCTATCTTTCTTTCTTTCTTTATTTATTTTTATATCTTTCTTTCTCTCTCTTTTTCTCTCACTCTTTTTTTTCTCTCTCACTCTTTCTTTTTCTCTCTTTCTCTCTCTTTCTTTCTCCCTCTCTCTCTCTTTCTTTCTTTCTTTCTTTTAATTTAAATATTTTAGAAAATTATTAACTTTCTTTATTTTAGAATCGAAAAAAAAAAAAAGATGGAAGAAGGAAAATTATTCCTGAGCATTTTTTTTTTTTTGGTGGGGTGGGGGAATTGCCAGGCAAACAAATCGATTGTCGTGTTGTCGAAACACACGTTTTGAAGGAAAAGTTTCAAGAATTTTGACAAAGAAAAGAAAAGATCAAAAACTCCAACAAAATACAGGTGGAATGGGGTAGAAACAGTATTAGGGGTGGATATAATTTAAGAGCGTGATCTCAGCGTGTCGGGTGAGGAAGAGGAAGTGGTGATGTATTTTGCATGATGGTGATAGATTTGATGGTGGTAGGGATAATGGTGTTGATGGTGAGGGCCCACGGTTAGTATTCAGGTTGATGGTGCCAAAGAAACGGGTGTTAGAAATAAGGGTATGTAGTCTACTATGAGTAACAGTAGTAGTAGTAGTAGTAGCAGAAGCAGCAGATGTGGTAGTATTAGTAGTAGCAGCTGAAGTGGTAGAAGTGGAGGATGATCAAATTGGAAAGGGTATTTAAGAGAAAAATATAAGATGATAACAAGGAAAATGAATGAATTATTGAAGGTGTTTCTCGGCCATTGATTGCTATATTCTCATATTCTCATCTCATTTGGAATGAAATATTGTTATAACAATTTATATATGCCTCTCTCTCTCTCTCTCTCTCTCTCTGTCTTTGTGTGTATGTGTGTGTGCGTGGGTGTAAAAATCTCACAGAATATTACGATAGAAGGACAAAAGGAAATCTTTTATTTTCGCTAACGCTGTTCGTCATCTGAGAGACGTTATCGTTATTTTATTATATGACAAGTATTTATATACAATGGATAAATGGATAGCAGCTCGGATGGAGGAATCAAAGAGCCGAGTTCAAATTCCAGTCGAATCCTTTACATTCACTTACGTGCTAATAACCTTGGGAAATGTATGAAGAATCTTCTCCCTCCAGTTATGGGCAAATATCAAGACAATCCGGGTTCTATAGCCTTGGATGGCAACTGGTCTACCGCAGAAAGAAATGGCAACCTACTATGGGGAAAAATCTTCCTCGTCACTCATGTATCGAAACATACATGATCGTCCAAGCGTTTATCATGCATGGCATATAATTGAGTTATATACAAGAGAAAAAATGGTTTTACATGGCAGGAAAAAGTAAAACATATTTCTCTTGTATATTAATGCTTGTCACAAAATAAAATTAATTACATTTCCCAAGAAAATGTACCTCAGAAGACGAAACGCGTCGGCTAAGATAAGTTTTCCTCTATGTTTTTTTTTTATATATATATATATATATATATATATATATATATATATATATATATATATATATATATATATATATATTGTGTATTTAGGTAGCAATCCTTCTTTCATGCAGATTTCATTGAATACGACAGACAAAGTGCATTTATTTAGTTTTTTTCATACAATTTCTCATGCGATCTAATAATATTTTTATTTCTTTTTGGATGATAAATACCTCCAATACAAACATTTCAGAGTGTTTGAGTGTCAAATGTTTCAGAAAGAGTTGTATTAGTCTAATGGTGATTACGAATGTACGGCAGCTCAGAAAGCTCACTCTAATCGTTTTTATAAGAAAAGAACTCTAGAATTTGTTCGTGAGGACCTCAATACGGAGGCCTACATCAAGTGCTTTGAGGAAGTAGTGCTGCCCTGGGTCACGTGGGTAGCTGCTGCACGACTATATATCTGGTAACTGAACTCTTCAACCTGTCACACAAGCAGGAGAACATAATCTTGGCTGTTCTGTGACCACACCTTACTTTTGGCCACCTAACTACCCTTGATTATTGTTTGCCGGGGGCAGTTGAGCGAGAGGCCAACAAAACTCCTTGCAACACCAAAGATGAACTGAAGGAAAAGACTATAGCTGAATTCCCCAACATAAACAATGAAACTTTAGTTGCAGGAGATTCCGAGGTGATCGGGAGATCGTGGTTGAAACCAATGGCGATTTTATTAAATAAATTTACTCTTTAGTATTTCAAGATATATTTTGTGTAATTTTGGTAAATATCTTTGTTAAAATGAGATGTTAATCACCTTTTAACTCCACCCTACAAGGACAAAAGGCCAAGTGGACAAAAATTGTTGGTTGAATTCAGTGACTTGACCCATAGAGTTGTCAGTGAAATACCTGGTTGCAGCTGAGGTGAACAAAATAAACTTGTAGAGTCGAGTTTAAAAAGAAGTAATTTATACAGAGATAACCGGAAGAGGCATGGCACTTGGAACGAGAAAAATATACACCGCTGGACGAAATAAAGGGTTAATTTCGAAATTCCAATTACCTGATGAAAACCGGGAAGTACAACGTACGAAACGTCGTGAATATGGCAACACAGATGAGGAAAACATTTCGAACAATGTAAATAGTGTAAAAAATTAAAATACCTCATCTCAGAAATATATGCATATATCAATACAGGCATGATTGTCGAAGATCTCGATGAGTTGTTGAAGTATTACGAAATGCTGTGTTGACATTCAATAAGTATTGAACGTTTTTAATCTATATTTTACTTAAAACTTTAATAATATACCTATATAGTTATTGAGTTATCAATATGTATGTAAACCTTTGTGTAAATTACTTGAAACAACGGCTTTAGTTTCCTTTTTTTTTCACCATACGGTCAGTTTTAAATCTACTGAAGTGACAGGGTGTAATTGATTTCTATTTTTCTCAGATTAGGTCATTTGCAGTGATGTACAGTAATATGCATCTATTTTCGAGGTGTATGATGAAAAATATTGTGTCATCCATGATTGCATCAGATTTTTATCACGCCAAGACACTATTGTCGCGACTGTCGATTAGTTGTCCTACGACCATTGTCAGCAATGGACGTTACTCCAAGGAAGCGCACGGAAATTATAACGCTGCACTGTCACACACTGTCAAGCCTTACCAGTGAGTAAATCAAAGTACTATAGACTGGTCATGGGAAGACTTCTGATTTAAATCCAATGGAGCATCTGTGGTTAATCTGCAAGGAACGATTTCGTGGAGAGGACATACGAACTACTAACATGTGCACTGGATCACGTTTCATTGGAAAAATACGAAAAAAGTAAATAACGGATTTCTTCGTTTTGTTTCAATTAATTTGAAGAAAGGTGTATTTGTTCATAAGGATGTCTTTGTCTACTCAGTATTTTCAGTTTTAAGCAGGTACATGAAGAAAATATATTTCCTTAAAGAAATACTGGAATTTTGGCATTTGTGTTTTTCCTAATATAGGATGGAAAATGTTCCCCTAATAAAAGTTGCAGCTAAGAAAATTATGAATATATTTACATACTGTGATATTAAATATTCGGCTCAGTGAGAGTTGAATCTGATGGACTTCACTTCAGAAGATGATGCTCTGTGGATGTTTGTGTAAAGTTCAAATGATATTAAAAACAGACGAGTCAAAACATGGTAAATGTCAACAAAGCGAAAGGTTACAAGCAAACATTAACCTTGGAAAAACAACTACGGCCAGTAGAAAGTGATTGAAAATCAGGCAACTGAAATCTATCTATCTATCTATCTATCTATCTATCTATCTATCTAGCTATCTATCTATCTCATTGTTTCTCGATTCTCATCTTGCCAGCATCTGCCTCGCTCTCTCTCTCTCTCTTTCTCTATCTATCTAATTGTGTTTCTCATCTATCAACATGCTAACATCTATCTGTCGATCTATCTGTGTTTCTCATCTCTCAACAAGTTAGTATCTATCTATCTATCTATCTATCTATCTATCTATCTATCTATCTATCTATCTTCTTTATCATCATGCCAGCATCTACATCTCTCTCTTTCTCTCTCTCAATCAATCTATCTCATTTTGTTTCTCATCTCTCAACATGCAAATATATATTTATCTCATTGTTTCTCCTTTCTCATCCTGCAAGCATCTGCCTCTGGCTCGATCTATCTATCTATCTATCTATCTATCTATCTATCTATCTATCTATCTATCTATCTGTGTTTCTCATCTTTCAACATGCTAGCATCTATCTATCTATCTATCTATCTATCTATCTATCTATCTATCTATCTATCTATCTAATTGTTTCATCTCTCAAGATACTAGCATCTATCTATCTATCTATCTATCTGTGTTTCTCATCTTTCAACATGCTAACATTTATCTATCTATCTAATTGTTTCATCTCTCAACATACTGGCATCTATCTATCAATCTATCTATCTATCTGTGTTTCTCATCTTTCAACATGCTAGCATCTATCTATCTATGTATCTATCTATCTATCTAATTGTTTCATCTCTCAACATACTAGCATATATCTATCTATCTATCTATCTGTGTTTCTCATCTTTCAACATGCTAGCATCTATCTATCTATCTATCTATCTATCTATCTATCTATCTATCTATCTAATTTTCTCCTTTGTCATCATGCCAGCATCTACATCTCTCTCTTAATCTATCTATCTCATTTTGTTTCTCATTTTTCAACATGCCAGCATCTATCTATCTACCTATCTATCTATGTCAGAGTTTCCCTATCCTAATATATATATCGGCTCGGAATGAAAAATCAGAGAGCCGAGTTCGAATAGCCGTTGATTTCGTTTCCTTCACTTATGTGCAGATAGGATTAGGATGATTTGCATGTATTTACTCCCCCGCAGATGTAAAAATCATTGATATATTCACATTTAAATTCGTAAATAATATTTGCCCTATTTAATTTTGTTCTGGGAGGTGAATTATTATTTTTAACTATAACGTTAGAGGCTTTAATTTTTTTGTAATAAATAATTAGTCTAAATTTTGCTATTGTTAACTGGTGTTATACATTTTTTTATAATGTTCTTAATTCTGCATTCATCCTGTTTATAATTTTCGTTCATCTGATTTTTATAAAAAATATTAATGTTATTGTTTATGTTTCAATTCTCGCCATTGCTGTTAGCTACCTTAGACAAGAAACGCCTAATGTGGAAATCCAACAATTGATTTGGAAATCCGTTATTAATCAGCGTTTGTTTTAAATTGTTTAATTCATTAAGGAAAAATGTGCGAGGGGATGAGTTCTCGTGCGCTCCCGTGGGGAAATTTTTGATAACACATATTTTATATCTAAGAGGGCATTCACTAGAGAAATTACTATGGCAAGCGTCTTTACTAGTTAGTATTTTTTAAACAGAAGTTTCAAATGTATGATTACTAAAATCGACGAGAACATCTAAGAAAAGAAGATGATTTATTTTTGCATATAAAATAAATACACATATACCTACGTTTGGTGTGCGACTTGAGTTTCGTTGGTTACCCAATTTATCAGGCACAAGATATAACTTATGGCTTATTCTAAAAAAGTATACAGATGCTTATGGTATGGACGCTGATTATAAGTTCAAAATTAAAACAGCATAAAAATAATACTAAAGAAATACGAGGGTCCAAGTGCAGGAAATGAGATGTAGGTAGGTGTCAATAATGAAAAAAAAAAAGAGAAAAAAAAAGGCAATTGAAGTATGCTTAAAATTTAAAATTTGAACGCTGGACACGTGTTCCTAAAATACGTTTCACTCGTTAAAGGGAGGTAATCAATGTGTGAACTGAAGTAAAAGTGTACGGAAAATTAAAATTTGAAATTAAATTTAGACAGAAAGTGGGTTATCCAGGATTACAATAATTTAAGAGAAACAATTTTTTGTGCATAAAAGTAGACATAAGTTCATTTTGTTTATTTAGTAGAATTGGATTATTAATATTTTTAGGATGAATAATTTTTCGTTCAAACATAGTTGGCAGATGTCCCCATTGCCTGGCAATGTATTGATTTTAGCGACCAAATCCCAATTCCGTGATTGGGTAGCCCAGTAACATTTAGAGAGTGCTGTGGCATTTGCGTATTTTTTCATGTTAAGCTTCATTTTATGATGATAACGTAAGCGACATCTCGAGCCCGATGACTTGGGTAACCAGTGAAATTCGAAACGGACATCAAACGTAGGTATATGTGTATTTATTAACATATATTTTTTGCTTTGTCTGATCACATTAAGCACTTTTATGTCTACACCTCTTGGCTAAACTTGCGAATTATTTATTTCCTTTCCAGCGTATGCACGCCAGTACACGCGTATACGGTCACTAATATCTAATTATTTCATTTACCAAAACCTATACATACATATATATAAATATATCTCTGTGTGTTCGCTCCCGCTAGTTTCGTTAAAAAAGACTGACACGTTGTTGTAGTTAAGTATTATATATAATTTCTTGTAGTATATTCAGTGCATGTAGATTGCCCAGAATAAATTATTAAGAACTTGGATTGGTCAAGAAAACTCTAAAAATCTGGCAACAAATTCATAACCTCTGACAATGCCAATCTAAGAACCTTGAAGATCAGTAGAATTATTGGAGTTTACAAGCCAGTAATTCTATACGGAAATGTTAAAATACACAAACCCGGATATCCATTACGACCTATCATTTCACACATACCAAACACCTATATCGCACTTGTTAAAATTCCTCAATGATATTATTACTCCATATCAATCTACTAATTGTAGCGTCAAATCAACGTATGAATTTCTCCAAATCCTTAACACTACAAAACCAAATCAAGACATTCTAGCGTCACTTGACGCAGAATATTTATTTACAAATGTCTCTGTTGGTGAAACTATTGATATCATCTTAAACTCTGTATATAAAAATAATTTACTTCCTCCTCGACCCATCAAACATAATATACTCAACAAATTATTGCATGCCTGCACAACTAAAATTATCATGTAAGAACAGAACGGCAAAATTTACACTCAGTCCAATTGAGAAAGTATGGGAAATCATTTCCGTCCATGCTTCTCTATTATATGACCCATGTTGAATACAAGGTATTTAAAAAAAAGTTACTAAACCGAGAATATATGTCTGCTGTGTAGACGATATTTTTATTTTAGCTGAAGACAAAAACGAAATTGATAATCGTCAAAACTACATCCTCAATTTTACCTATGAACTTAGCCAAAAACTAAACTTGAAATTCCGAGTTGAAATTAATTCTGAGTTGAAATTAATTCCGAGTTGAAATAAGTTCCGAGTTGAAATTAATTCGGAGTTGGAATTAGTTCCGAGTTGAAATTAATTCCGAGTTGAAATTAATTCCGAGTTGAAATTAATTCCGAGTTGAAATTAGTGCCGAGTTGAAATTATTCCGAGTTGAAATTAATTACGTGTTGACATTCAAATACCTGCTACACTCTTTACATTACAATTGTAAATTAGGGACAAATTTGGAATTTTTATAAATTTATGTTTCGATATTTTATTGTAGCTTCACTTAAAATTTTTTAGAATGTGGAAAACATAGAATTAAAATTGCCAAATATTATCAATCTTCCCCATTACAAAAATAAATTTCTGATGAAGCTAAAATAAATTAGCGAATCTTGTCAAATCTGATTTGTTCCTTGTTTCGTCATTCTGCCAGAATTCATCCATATTTTTTAAATCATTAGGATATTATGATTCAAACTAAGAAATTACGCTAGGAACGACAGTTTTGCCTCGAATTCCAGACACTGTGATCTATAAATTTGTAAATACACAGACTCCCATATCGATATTGTTTACAATGTACTATATATAACTAGGGGAAATGTGCTTAATGTCGGCTATATAGAGTGTGGTCATATGAATCAAGATGATTAATTGAAGACAATACTGATAAGAATGAAAATGGAAACAGCAGCGAGAGAAAACTGAATGAAAACCCTAAACCTAACCCCTAACACTCAAGCTAAAACTAAACCTGTGTTCAGATTTGAAATTTGTTCCAAGTTGAAATTAATTCTGCACCCAGTTTGAAGGTACATATGAGACAGACCATTAATGGAATACTATGAAACGATATTTAAACCTAAACTTCTCTATCGAACGCATTGAAATGACTGCTTCCTACCAGATACACGAAATGAAAACGCATCTACTGTTACTAGCATTCGTCGTCAACTGAAGCGATAGCGAGTATTTTGAAAGTTGGCAGCTGAACACGAAAAACGACAGGTGGCTATCTGCAGACATCACAGATGTACCTTACTTTTTTTTTTCTCTCTCTATATATATATATATATATATATATATATATATATATATATATATATATATATATATAAAAGTGGAAAAAGGTTTTCGCATGTCATGTTTTCGTCCTTTAGGATTTCATCGGGCGAAACGCGTCAAAGTACGAAACGCATCAACGTGCGAAACGCCTCAAAGTATGTAACGCGTCAGAGTACGAAACGCGACAACGTGCGAAACGTGTCAGTACCAATCCTGTCAACGTACAAAACGCGTCAACATCCGAAACGCGTCAACGTACGAAACGAAACACGTACGAATTCCGTCAACGTACGAAAAGTGTCAAAGTACGCAGCGTAACAAAGTACGTAACGCCTCAAAGTACGAAACGCGTCAAAGCACGAAACACGTCACTGGAATTTTTTTTTCCAATTTGACTTACATTTTCCCCCCAGTGTCTGTCTATGTTTCTGAGATGAGGTATTATGTACACTATTTACATTATTCGAACTATTGTCCTCATCTTTGTTGTCATATTTATCACAACGATTCGGCCGCTGTACGCTCCGGCCTTCTTCAGGTGGTTGGAATGTTGAACTGAACCCTTTATTTCGTTCGCCGGGGTAGACTGTTCTACTTCCACGTGCCATGTAATGTAATGGATGTCACTTATCAGCTATCTTCTCTTTACCCATCCAGTGGATTAAGTCGTTACTTTGATCCAGTGAGAGGACCCAAAGTATGTGATTTCAATACCTTGTTAAGGCGGTGGAGAACTTGGTGAGAGGAATTAATAGGAGATTAACTGACAGCTCGGCCACAGAGAATGTCATTGTTCATCTAGTTTCAAGTATGCTTTTTAAAGAATGCCCACCCTCTCATTCAAATCACCTCTAAATTTCATCTGCTCACTTTTTTCGAATTGACAAATCGAAGAGCCGAGTTCGAATTCCAGTCAAATCCATTACATTCACTTACGTGCTAATATCTTTGTGAAAGGTATGAATCCTCTTCGTCGCGCCCCCGCACCTATAGGTAAATATCAGGAGAGACCGAGGTCCATATCTTTTGATGGCAACTGGTCTATCGCAGAAAGAAATGGCAACCTACTGCAGGAAAAAAATCTGCCTCGTCAGTCATGTACCGAAAGATACATGATCACCTAAGCGTGTATCACGCATGGCACATAACTGATTGATAAACAATGTATTATTTTACTGACGTCATTTCTTACTACTCTAAATATTTTGTGCATACTCGTGTTTGAGTAAACGTAGATTTTTTTAATATTGTGAATCCTGTAAATATTATTAGATCGCATGAGAAATTGCATGAAAAACTAAATAAAAGCACTTTGTCTGTCGTATTCAATGAAATCTGCATAAAAGAAGGATTGCTGCCTAAATACACAATATATACACATATATATATATATATATATATATATATATATATATATATATAT